CTTTGAAAGGATAAACAAGATCGATGGTTCCCTAACTAGACTGACCACAAAAAAGAAGAAAAAAACCCCAATAAGCACAATCAGAAACATAAAAGATGAAGTCACATCTGACCCTGAAGAAATACAAAAGATCATTAGAGACTACTATGTACACTTGTATGGAAACATACTTGAAAACCTCAAGGAAATGGAGGACTTTCTGTCATCACACAACCTGCCTAGGTTGAAACAAGAAGAAGTTGAGACCCTAAATAGACCAATAATAATCAAGGAAATTGACTATGTAATAAGAAAACTACCTACAAAAAAAAAGCCCTGGACCAGATGGCTTTCCAGCAGAATTCTACAAGACATTTAAGGAGGAGCTGATTCCAATCCTACTGAAGGTATTTCAGGCGACTGAGAAAGATGGAACCCTCCCCAAATCATTTTATGAAGCTAACATCACATTGATACCCAAGCCAGGGAAAGATCCAACAAAGAAAGAGAACTACAGGCCAATATTTTTGATGAACATAAGATGCTAAAATTCTCAACAAGATCCTAGCAAACCGGATTCAACAATACATCTCAAAAATCATCCATCATGACCAAGTAGGCTTCATCCCTGGGATGCAAGACTGGTTCAACATTCATAAAACCATAAACGTAATTAAATACATCAACAGTTGTCAAAACAAAAACCACATGATTACATCATTAGATGCAGAAAAAGCTTTTGATAAAATCTAGTACCCCTTCTTGATAAAAACCCTCGAACATCTAGGCATATGAGGAACATACCTCAAAGTAGTAAAAGGCATCTGCGAGAAACCTACAGCCAGCATACTCCTAAACGGACAAAAATTGGAACCATTTCCCCTGAAAACTGGATCAAGACAAGGATGCCCACTCTCACCCCTCCTGTTCAATATAGTATTGGAAGTCCTGGCTAGAGCAATCAGACAAGAGAAGGCAATCGGGTATCCAAATAGGAAAAGAGGAAATCAAATTATCTCTCTTTGCAGATGACATGATCATGTACCTTGAAAACCCAAGAGAATCTGTCAAAAACTTCTTTACACTGATAAAGGCCTTGGGCAAAGTCTCAGGATATAAAATAAATGTGCAAAAGACAATCGCATTTCTTTACACCAATAATAAACAGAAACCCAAATAAAAAGCACAATTCCATTCACAATAGCCACCAAAAAAATGAAGTACCTTGGCATCTTCCTAACCAGAGACGTGAAACACTTGTACAGTGAAAACTACAAAACTCTCCTCAAAGAAATCAAAGATGACACAAACAAGTGGAAAAATATGCCATGCTCATGAATTGGAACAATCAACATTGTGAAGATGTCCATCTTACCTAAGGCAATCTACAGATTCAATGCAATACCTATCAAATTACCAGCAACATTCCTCTCAGACCTAGAAAAAACAACACAGGAATTCATATGGAAACACAAACGACCAAGAATAGCCAGAACAATCCTCGGCAAAAAAAACAAAGCAGGTGGTATCACATTACCAGATTTCAAACTTTACTATAAAGCTACAATCATCAAAGCAGTTTGGTATTGGTATAGGAACAGGCATGTAGATCAATGGAATAGTATTGAGATTCCAGAAGCAAAACCTCAATTTCTCAACCAACTCATCTTTAGCAGAGTCTGCACCACCTACCACTGGAGAGAGGAGAACCTATTCAGTAAATGGTGCTGGGAAAACTGGCTGACCAGATGCAGAAGATTGAAACAGGACCCCTATCTATCCCCATACACAAAAATTAAATCCAAATGGATCAGAGACCTAAATGTAACACCTCAAACCGTAAGAACCTTAGAAAATGAAGGACATACCCTCATGGAAATTGGAACTGGCATCAAATTCCTGAACAAAACCCGAAACGCACAGGCCATAAGGGATAAGATTGACAAGTGGGACCTCATTAAACTGACAAGCTTCTGCAAAACCATAGAAACCATCAAGAGAGCAGGGAGACAACCTACGGACTGGAAAAAAGTATTTGCCAACTCCAGGACTGACAAAGGCTTAACATCTTGGATCTACAAGGAACTAAAATATGTTGAAAAGAAAAAAACAAACAACCCCTTATAAAATGGGCAAAAGATATGAACAGACACTTTACAAAGGAAGACATCTGAGCAGCCATCAGACACATGAAGAAATGCACAACCTCACTAATCATCAGGGAGATGCAAATCAAAACCACACTGAGATACCACCTAACTCCAGTCAGAATAGCAATTATCAACAACTCAAAAAATAACAGCTGCTGGAGAGGGTGTGGCGAAAAGGGAACACTTCTACACTGTTGGTGGGAGTGTAAACTAGTGCAACCTCTGTGGAAAGCAGTGTGGCAATTCCTAAAAGCTCTAAACATCAACTTCCCATATGACCCTGCAATCCCCCTACTGGGAATATACCCTGAAGAACTCAAATCACTTTATAAAAAAGATACCTGCACACGAATGTTTATCACAGCATTGTTCACAATAGCAAGAATCTGGAAGCAACCATACTGTCCATCAAAAGAGGACTGGATTTAAAAAATGTGGTACATGTACACGATGGAATACTATGCAGCCATAAAAAAGAACAAAATCATGAATTTCGCAGCAACTTGGATGGAGCTAGAATCTATAATACTGAGTGACCTCTCACAGAAACAAAGATCTGAGTCTCACATGTTCTCACTCATATAGTGGACCTTGATCATCCAACGCACTACCATAAGAAAATGACTGACAGTAGTGGGAAACAGTGGGGGGGAAAGGGGAAGGGATGGTAGTAAACATCTGTCTGGGGACGGGGAGACACCTGTTATCAACAAGGGGGCCTGAATGAAGCATATTTGTATACCTGACCCTTAACTGTACCCCACAATATCATAATAAAAAATACTGATTTAAAAAAAAAAAGGAATGAGACATTTTGACATTAGACGTAACTATCAGATGTAAATCGTATGTTACCCATTGATTAAAATTTATAGAGTAAGGTAACAAAAACAAGATACGGGACAGAAGAAATTAGTATAGTTTAGTAAAACATATTTCATTAATTTCTCTCATTGGAAATGAAAATCCACTTGTTTGGAAAGACTTAGAAACCTGTGGTTAACTGTAGAACGTCTGTAGGGTTCCTGAAACATAAATACAACTCTAAGAACCTAAACCGTTGTTGGCAGTAAGTACAAACTATATTTTGAAGTATTAATAAAATTAAATAGAAGGAATGAAAAAGAAAAATCCAGCATATTTTGTTTGTTTCTGTTCACTAGGTTTTCACCCTAATAATGATTTCAGCTACTTTTCAAGATTTAAAAAATGTCTTTCATTTCTCAGCAGTATCTGCTTTTCTCTTTCTCTCATTTCTTTTTGCATCCTGCCAATCCCTAATCACAGGCCAACCAGTCTGCCTCCGTCATGCTTTTAGAATGTTCTTCTCATTAGTTCCTAACTCTGTTCTTCATCCCAGTGTTTTTCTTCTTGCGTGCAGTTTATACTTCATTCATAACTTTTCTATTCATTCCTTTCTTCAGCTTTCTTCTTCTTAGTACACAGGTAGCATGGTTACTGTCCTTCAGCTAAAAAGATCTAAGTTCATGTCTTGGCACCTCCACATGTTTCCTGTGTGATCTTAGATGAATTAATGAACTGCAATAACCCTAGTTTATGTCTCTGTAGAATTGAATGTTAATATCATGATCTTCCCAAATTTTGGGGAGGATGAAAATGGGATGCTCCATATCCATGCAAAACAGATAGCACATTAGCAACTACACTTTAAGTCTTAAGTGTTAGCTATTAACTGTTGCTACTACGAGTGTATTTTATTACACAGCAATTTCTGTCCTGTGAAGGATGCTTGTGTTAGCATTTTTGCAGTCAAAGGTTACAGCAGCGATCTTTCGGGATGGTAAATGTGGAGGAAGACAGCAATCTGTGTTTTAAAGAGATAGACGAGATCATTACAGGGAGGAAGGGATGCTCCCTGGTTCATATGAAGCTGCTGGTTGTTTCTAAGTTACCATCACCTTGTTTTTCAGGATTCTCTATCCTTTTTGCTTCTGTTGCCTGCCTCTATACCTCTTCTGTTATCATAAGACATATAATAAAAATGAAAGAGAATTCAATAAGAACAGTTTTTTTTAAAAGAATGAACATTGGTGAACTGTTGGCTAGAATTGTATTTTGTATTTACATCTGGACTTAATTTATTCACCTGACCTTTGGCATCCGGTAACATAAATAAAAAATACTGATCATAATAAGGAATAAGCTCCTCTTAACCCTCTGGAATTCTTCATATCACTAATACAGATTCCACCAGAAAAAGAAAATAATCAGTTAAAGTCACTTATTAATTTGATTAGAATGCGTACTACTTCCAAGTATCTTAGGTTTCAGAATTATTTTATATCAAACACACTATATGGCAAAAGTCAAGGTATTATGTATTTTGCTTAAAGTTAGGGCTTTTCAAGTGTGTGTGTGTGTGTGTGTGTGTGTGTGTGTGTGTGTGTGTGTCCTTATCATAGGACTTTTCCAGAACAGACATAGTAACATTTTCTATTGTTAATCTGACCACAGGAATGCTACAGAAGCATTTTTGATCACTTTAGTACTTGTGATGTCTATTATTGTTTACTGTTTATATACGATTTATATTTTCATCACCTACCTAGAGCTTATGTTCTATATAATACATGCTAAATATTGGGCTTTCTTTTGTATACTGAATATTGGACTTTATGTCTTAAATTATACATTTAAATGAGCAAATAAAAGCAGAAGGAGACAAAAGAAACAGTCTCAAATGCAGAAAAGGAATAGATGGTACTGGTCATATTAGTTTCTCTACCGGCTATTGTCCTGGGATGGGGATGGAGAGAATACACAGAAAAACCATGTGAGAGACTTCGCTTAATTGATTTTTTTAAAGTCAACTTATTTCTCTGGAATTAAACAGTTGATTTACTCTTTCAGGCAGGAGAAAACAAAGGATGGAGTGGTCCAAAGGCTGGGTTTCCTGAGCCAACAAATAACAGTAAGTTTTCATTTCTATGTTATCTGTGTTTGGTGTCCATCAGTGGTTCAGTAACGCTATCACTGGGTATTGATTGAGTCCATCTGGGCCCAAGATGTCATGGTAAGTATTGTGGAGTGTACAAAGGAGTTGTGGTGTTTGTGCTTCTGGAACTGACAGCAGACTGGAAAACTAAGATAGGCACTCAGATCCTTCACACAACTAAACCATTGTAGATGGAGTACCATTTAATCTATGTAGTGATGGCATTCTTTTTAAAGTTGTCATTTTTATTGAAACAACCTTATAATAATATAAAAATAATTTTGATAATTTTGATAAAAACAGCAATTATCTACAAGTTGGTTTTCCTGTCAGATCAATTTTCAGAGTTCCAATTGTTTTTATGTGTATACATATTTTTATATAAGTATAATTTGTATAAAATTTTTGTTCTGTTGTTTGCATTTATCATAGCCATAAGTATTTTTTACATCTTGCTGCATCATTAGGGTTTTTAATATTTTATTAAAGTCACTAAGTAAAATATCAGATATGTAAGAATAAAATTGCTCAGCTTTGTCCTGTATATAGTATTATCAGACACTTAAAATCAGCTTTAGTTTATTTATTTATTTTTAATGTATGTCATCAAGATTTTCGAGATGATGTTTAGATATTTTTCCTTAATACTCTTACCCTTCCTCATCTTTTGAAAAGCATCTATTTCACTGTAGTGACCATTTTACTGTAAATCAGTAACACAAAACATTTGACCAGTGAAACACCAGTCTATCTCATTTCTAACTCTATCATTTTTCTTTACAACTGTTGGACATTGAAAAGGCTTACATCAGTAAACTGTCATAATGAAGTGTTTTTAGACTTTGATATTAGTGATGCATCTCTTAATGTATAATGAAATTAATAGCAAATTCTTATCAGATAATGTACATAAGAATTGAATTATTGGAGCATCAAAACTAGCTTCTTGAAAAGAATATTTTAGTGAGTTAGTGGTATTTTGGGATTTACTTTCTGGGAATAATGTAAATTAATGTGCCTCTGAGCCCTTGGACTATATATATGTAAAAGAGGTTTGAATGTGATGGACTTAGTACATAATCCAAGGAGAAAAATGAGATTGGTTCAGGATTTTTAGAGTTTGTATTTAATTCCTTTCATGTTTGAATATATTGATTTGGTAAGGGAATACGAGATACTTTAAATTGATTGCAGTTTTATGTAAAGTATTTAGCACACAGTACCTGTTTCCAGTAAGCATGGAGTGAATGTTGAGTTCCTTCCATGTCTCCTCCCTCTTTTTTTTTTTTTTTTGGAAAAATGATATAATTTGGCTGGGCTAGGTGCCTCAACCTCTAATCCCAGCCATTTGGGAGGTTGAGGTGAGTAGTAGATTGCCTGAGCCTGCGGGTTCGAGACCAGCCCGAACTTGGTGAGACCTTATCTCTACAATAAGTCAGAAATTAGCTAGACATGGTAGCATGCACCTATAGTTCCGACTACTTGAAAGGCTGAGGTGGAAGCATCACTGGATCCCAGCAGGTCAATACTGGGGTAGCTGTGAGCATGCCAC